CACACACACACACACACACACACACACACACACACACACACACACACGCCTACCACTCTCACAAGCCAGACATCTCCTGATCCCACCCCTTTCAGTAAGAGAGTGTCCACCCTACGGCTTCCCTGTGGAAACAGCCCCCACAGGAAACACACCGGAGGTGACAGCGTGCCTCCCTCCGGTCCACCCTGGGCCACCATCCGGAAACACCGGGAGGGGCAGGGGGAAGGAATCAGGGGAGGGGCTCCTCCCTACAAGGCCCATTCTCCTCCAGAGCTTTCCCTGCCCCCACTCCAGCACTTATGGAGAGGGGGGAAGAGGGAGACGAGAAGTTGGGGTCCCAGGGAAGCAGGATGGTCAGAGGATTTGGAAGAACCCCTGGATCCTTCCTGCTCCCCTCTAGCTGTGGGTCAGCCTTAGCACCTCCCCTGCCTTGAGCCCAGCCCCCAACCCTGTCCCTACAGGAAGCTGACTGAGGCCTTGGGCCCAGTGGGAAGGCAAGGGGAGAATGTAGGGGTGGAAGGTCAGAGCTGGGGGTGGGGGAAGCCTGGCCCATTCTGAGCCTCCGGAAGAGCTAGGGCCCTAAGAACAGGAAGTAAGCCGGACCTTGCCAAGCAAAAGGGATGTGATTCGAGCCCCAGCCCCTGAGAGCAGGCACCAGCAGGAGGGTCGGGAAGACAGACAGAATAGGCCAGAGAGAGATGGAGACAGAGCCACACGGGGCCAGGGAGGCAGTTAGGACTGCCTGGGATGACCAGAGATGCAAATGGAGACAAAGACCAGCAAAGATGAGTAGACAGAGAGGGAGGCAGCCACCAAAACAGATCTGACCAGATTATATGTAGCAGAGCACTGTGGGAATCGGAGATAACACCAGCAGGCTTGTCTAGAGCCATTGGCAAAGAGGGGAAACTGAGGCAGGAGAGGTTAAGTGTCTTGCCCACATTTACACAGTCAGGAAGTTTCAGAATTTGAGCCCATTCTCCTGATTCCAGGCCCTGTCCTCTTTCCCCTCCATCCAGCTTCCTCTTGATCTACAAAGCATCCAAATGAGGATTGGCTATTACTAGTGTTGGAAAGCATTGTTGAATTATTCACAGGATTATTTTGCTATGGGACCAGAGAAATAGGAGAAGACAGGGATGGTCCTAGAACAAGAGATAGGTCAATAAACAGAGAGAGAGAGAGAAGAGAAGAGAGAGAGAGAGAGAGAGAGAGAGAGAGAGAGAGAGAGAGAGAGAAGAGAGAGAGAGAAGAGAGAGGGAGAGAAGAGAAAGAGGGAGGAAGGGGAAAAAAGGGAGAGAGAGACAAAAAACAAAAACAGAGAGAAGAAAAGTGACACAGAAAGAGAGAAAACCAGACAGAAAGTGCAACGCCAAGAACCGAACAGGGGGAGAAAAAAGAACAGGGTAAAGAAAGGTCTGGTGGGAACAGAGGGACAAGGAGAGCAGGACTGAATCTGTGGGGGAGGGGGAGAGAAAAGTCACCAATGGAGGCAGAAAAGCTCCAGCCCACGAGAAGTCAGAAGCCAGCCCCCTGCTCCCTAGTGGTCCGCTAAGCTGCCTGTAGGCCAGAGACCAGGACAGACTCAAAGAAAAAGAAGAATGGAATCTCAGAGGCCGGGCATTCCAAACTCCTCAGCTTGCAATCAAGAAATCCTGAGTTCGAATATGGCCTCAGACACTTACTAGCTGTGTGACCCTGGACAAATCACTTAACCTCCATTTGCCTCAGTTTCCTCAACTATAAAATGGGGATAAAAATAGCACTTACTTCCCAGGGTTGTTGTGAGGATCAAATGAGATAATATTCATAAAACACTTTGCAATCCTTAAGTGTTATACAAAGGCTAGCTATAATTATTATCACGTGACAAACTATTTCAGCCTTAGCTTCCTCATCTGTAACACATATATATGTTATATACAAATATGTGCTATATACATATTTGCTTTTATTATTATTTATACACATGAAATGACTTCATAGGATCAGAGATTGAGACCGAAAGGAACCTTCAATACCCTCTTGTCAAACTACCTCATGTAACAGGGGAGGCAGCTGAGGCCCAGAGGTGACATGACTTGCCCAAAGCCGTACAGGTGGTAAGTATCAGAGGCCAGATTTGAACCCAGGATCTCTGAAGTCAGAGACAGTGATCTTTCCCCAGTATAATATGCCTCCAAGCTGAACATCCCAATCCTCAGAAGAGGTGAACTCAACATCCTTCATCATTCTGGTTGCCCTCTTCTGAGCAGTTTGTGTGACCTTGAGCAAATCACTGTCCCTCAGTTTCCCCATCTGTAAAAAGGAGAATATTGGACGAGCTACTCTCTGAGGTCCCTGCCAGCTCAAGATCTGTGGTCCTATGACCTCAGGGCAGGGGCAGCGCTTCCTTATTCTGGAAGCTTTTCCTCGGTTCCTCGGTTAACGCCACCCCAGATCACCCTAGTTTGCTGAGCCGTCGTATCTGAAGGTGGATTTATTATAGCAGTCTCTCTACTGACACTGAGCCATTGACCTATAAACGACAAAATCAATTGGGTTCCAGAGAAGTGGATTCCTATCAGGGGTCTGGCCAAGACAATTAGAGCCGCCCAGGAGGGGGACAGTCACCCCCATTTAATGGGTCGAGGTGTTCGAGCAGAGGCTGAAGGAACACTCGTTAGGGACAACGCGGAGGCTGGACAGCAGGGTGGCTCCCCAGGCCTGGTCCAGCTCAGAGATTCTGGGATTCTGCTCCTTCTCGCTCTGACTATGACCCTGTGATAGATAGGAACCCCCTCAGGGGTAACAGCTCACTCCCCTTTTCCCCCAACCTCTTGGTTACTCAGTGCCAGGCACTGGGGGAGGAGAACCTTCGCCTGGGAGGGTCCCTGGCAGAGACAGCTTTGCCCAGAAAGTCACAGAATCTCAGGACCAGAGATCCCAAGCTCAAAGGGACACCGAGGCTACCTAGTCCAACCCTGGATGAGGAAAGTCAATTCTTGGGGAGGTGACATGTCCAAGGTCACCAGCTCCTCTTATGCCCAAGCCAAGGCTGCTCCAGGCCACCTCTTCAAGCATCACCCATCCCCAACAAGGGCTTCTTCAGCCTCTCCTTGAAGGCCTCCAGGGAGAGGGAAGCCACTGTCTCAAAGAGCAGCCCATTTCACCTTGGGATGGCTTTAATTTTCCCGGCATATGGCTTCTGTCTCTCTGTAGCCCCTGCCCATGTCAGCCCATCAGGCTTCCCCTCAGGCACAGAGATCCAGCTCAGGAGGGAGCCTGAGGCCCCTGGCAGATCCACCCCAAGCCTCTCCAGCCCCAAGTCACCTGCTTTCTTGCCCTTGAGATCCAAGTGTCCAGCAGCAGCTGCAGTCGGGACCTATGGAAGCTCTGGGTTGTCTTGACAGCAATGTAGATGTCAGTGAGTGCCAGGGCCCCTGGCTTGGTGCTATTCTCCCCAGGGCCTGTCCCACTGAGTCCTGGAGTCCTGTGTCTCACGGAGAGGAGCGCCACACAGAAGAGGGTGACAGAGACCCCAGAGAGTCCATGCAGGAGACGAGGCCGCATCGGATGCTAGGTGGACAGATGGGGGAGCCCCTCCGTCTCTGTGTACCCCAAAGCTCTAAATCAACCCCCTTTTCCCAAAGGAATAGGAATGAATAATCAATCAGACTCCAAGTCCAGCAGACATGAGAGCCAAGACAGAACAAGGAAGAAAAAACTTGAGGGTGAGAGGGGAAGACAAGGAGAAACCGATGGGGGAACCCTGAAAACCCCAAGCCCAGAGAGTCCTGATGTGTGTCAACCCTAAAGCAGAGAGGAGAGGAGAGGAGAGGAGAGGAGAGGGGAGGGG